TAACTTCTATTCTGGGGCCCAAGGGATGAGGAGTGTCGTTGATTAGAGACCCAGAATAGAAGTTAGTGGTGCGAATGCTGTATGGTTTGCCTGTTGAAGCACCGTATGCCATAAAAACAAAACGATAGACTAGGACACAAAAAGATTTCAAAAAGTTCTTGTAATTTTCTATTTTAACAGTTCCGTCTTTTTCACTATGTTTTGTATCCCAAAATCCCCTCCTGTTATTGTTATTGTTATTGGTGTCGTGGCGTTGGCACCATATATATATATATATAAAATCTTACTGGTCAAGCGCGGGAAACAAATTTTACTGTTAAAACCAAAGGAATACAAAAGTCAATTCGATGTTGATTGGACAAAAGATACATTTTTGCTTTCTTTCTATTCGAATCGTGCGGAATGGCCAACCAGTAGAACTGTTTTCTTCCTAGTCCGAGTCGGCAGCAGTCCGCAACAGTTCTGTGTTAGGTTTGATTGTTTTTTGCTTTAGTTCAATAAATTCGACAGACAGCAGCCTTGATTTATAAGCCTTACCTTGCCTATAGTGAAACGGCATTGGGCAAAAGGACTACGTGTGAATGCTCAAACAACACACAACTTGACCGGTTACCATTTTCGTCCGAGCTTTGAACTCCGGATCCGCTGTATTTAATGCATGGATGTGTGGACTTTGTCAGAATTGTCTATGCATGTGTGGCTTGATGACATTGTTATGGTGTGATTGGTTGCCCATCCCCTATTTCAGACAGTTTTCGAACTCCCCAGGACAGCCTTATTGAATTTCACTATTGATCTGTGATCCGATCCCTTGTACTTAACATCGGTAAGTGCATTGAAGTTCCACTTAGTCTCAAAATCGGTCCCCGTTAACTTTCATTAGTTAATAATTGTCCTGATCATAGAGTTAACAATCAAAGCATTTCCAAACACCTTGGTGTCACCCTAAACCATAACCTGTCCTGGTCTGCCCATGTCATCAACGTTTTCACAAAAGTTAGAAAACTGTCTTTTTATGCTTAGAGGTTCAAGCAACTGGCCGCACCACATAATCTTGTTCCTAAATTTGTGATTGCCTGCATTCTTCCACAGTATCTATACTGCTCCCTGATTTTTATCCCTGGACTGAACGGAAAAGAATTCACTTTATTTTCGAGATCCCTTTAACTTTTTCCCGCAACAGTGGAATTGATAGAGTTGTTTTATTTGATTTCTTTATTTCCAAGCATTTTGACGCTTGTGATATCTTTACTGTCCGGATAACACGTGACCAATGGCACTGTGTGCACCAAGATATCACGAATCCTCGAACTCGCTCCAAATATCAACTCCTTCCTGCGCGTGCTTCCACATATCGAAAGTGTGTACTTTCATACCTTATCGGTCAATTGTCAGACTATTCTCACCCACCTCAGGGAAAAACTCCTGTACTAACTTTTTCTCTCATTTAGAATTTCTTATATTGTTTTCTTTTGTCTGCGATCGGTTTTATCTATCCACTGTAAAAATCGTAAATTGCTGAAAGTTCGTACCTTGAGTTGACTTGACTTGAATTGAGCCAGGGAAGACAGTTCCATATTTATTATCTCCATTGCAAAAGCCTTCCATCAAATTACATTTTCCATGCATGTCTGCCAAGACTGTCCCAATCACACCTACCAGGATAGATTTTTTAATCCGCATTTAACTCTGATTGACACGTCCTCCATGCCAGCTCGGATGGGACAGTGAATGATGAGCTCGATTGAGAGCACGGATCAGGAGACAGTGTTTGCTGTGCGTGAAGATGCCGCCTGAACGGATGACTATAGTACACATGGACATAAATTAGTTAACGGCAGTACTCATCACATGTAGATGTGAGTTTGAACAAACAGTCTGTAAACTGCAAACTGTCCCGCCCCGTCGTGCATGGAGGTTTTGTGAAAACCCAAGTGAGTGAGTTTCACTAGAGAGCAACATTTCATTGATCATATAAAACTGGTCAGGCTTCCAACTAACGCGCACACACACAGATGTAACTCAATAAACCACTTCTGCCAAGTACTTTACAATTACTTTATTTTCATTTTATTTTAATCATTGCTAATCTTTTTGTAACACGTTTTAAAACGTTTTGTCTTTAATTGGACAATAATGCATTCCCGCATTTCTTTTTGCTAACCTCCGCATTCATATTATGCTGATGTCACGGATGAAGTTGCAGCTCGCACACAGAAGACTTGGCTGGCATTTGTCAACTTCGGACGTCTGTAGCACCGTCGCGACATCCGGCTGTCTGTTAAGAGTCGAGTGTAAGCTTCGGCAATTCGGCCAGTTCTGCTATATGGAGCAGAAACGTGGCCATTAAGAAAACAGGATAAAGACAGACTGTCGGTGTTTGAACACCGCTGTCTACGTAGCACTGCATGAATCTGATAGGGAATTCGGATAAGCAATGCTGAGGTTAGGCGTAGAGTTTTATGCAACCGCGGTCGCCCACTGGAGCAAATGGTAGACCTCCGTAGATTACGTTGGTTGGGACATGTGCTACGCATGTCAACAAATAGGTTGCCACGGCGAGCGATGTTTGCCGAGGCAGGTGTTGGGTGGAATAAAGCCAAGGGTGGTCAAGCCAAGACCTGGCACAAGGGTACGGAAACCCTAAACAGGACACTGGGTCACAGAGATCCTCTTAGGCTCCCTGTATGGGGACCCCGGGATAGTGGTAACCAGTGATTGGGGACACTGAGTGATATGGCTGGTTGTCGTAAAAAGTGGCGTTCGCGCAACTTGTCAAGTTCTCTGCCACATTAGTCCACTGAGATTCCAAATTTTCTCATTGATCCTACTTCCACACTTTCCTGTTGTTCTCTTTCTGTTCATCCAAATGGGGCGCAAAGCGACAGCAACCAAAACCGGCGCACGATAGTGCATGGTTGGTGGCTTTACAAACTGAAACTGAAAACATATGTCTCAAATTGACGATTCCTTGGCGAGTTGTGAACAGTTTGTATTCATCCTTCTCAGAGGACTGATGTGATGCGGCACACAGGGAAACGCATTTTGATCTCAGTAACGTTCTTTTGGTAACCTTTTTATTTCACACACGTTTGAGCTCAGACTCTGCGTATGCCAAATAAATCACGGTACAATAATCTTTTTAAAAAATGTCCATGATGTGTTGGAGGACACGATACGGCTAGGTTGCTCAAGCCAAAGCAATTGGATTTTCTTAGGGAATTCACAACCGGAGCTTTTGGTCAACCACAGCTTGACCCACTAGGCAGCCGGGGGGGGACCGTGTGGCAACCTCAATCCATTGAGGGGTCAGTGTCCATCGCATCGGATCATACACTCATTGAACGGAGTCAAACGTCCAGTGTGTCCAACAGACCTCAATACCCAACCGAGCCGGTGACCCCTACCACGACTTGTTTGATTTAGAATCGGCGTTTTTAGCCAACTTCCCTAGGTGAATTGCCAGCGGTTCACTGACCCGGTTAAAGCCCCGGATTTCGGCTTTCATCCCCTGGTGTGTTACGAATTTATCTACCTAGTTGTGACATTATTGTTTAATAAATGCCAAAATGGCTGACTGGTTTCATACATTTCACACAAAATGCAGTCATCAACGGACGCTTACCGAGTTCGGGGTTTTGACCAGGGAAGAACGCAACAATTTCTGTTGCCCCGAGTCCGATCCGGGTCGGATGATCAGAGTATCCGGTAGACCACAATCCGAAGGCGGCATTAAAAGTGATTCGGAAGCGTCGTATGTGTTCCAATTGTCTCTGGCCTGATACGCATAGTCCTCACGAAGGGAAGGCAACCTGGATTTCGTTTTCTGTGTTCTAATAAGAACCATACGTACACAAATCAATTTAATAATTGGTAGGATCATAATACTATAAAGAGCATGAATACTGTATTAGGACGGTGAATATTTGGATTAGTCCATTCGATTTATTTTCACCGGTACCAGGCACTGTTGATGACCATTGACCCCGTAGCTCAGGGAAAAGGGTTTGTGTTTTGTGTTTCACAGCTGACCAAACCGGTCGGATCAGGGCAGCCGGATCCACTAGTTAGAGGTCTGAAATGCATTCATTCATTCATTCATTCATTCATAGTATTTCATTCCCCGTTTAAACAGTAACTGAATAGTTGCACGAAATGCATCTGCGCTTTCTATTTGTCGTTGGTGAAGAATAAACAGCACGGGGTAAAACAAACAATCAATCCTGTACATCAAATCGGTTCAATTTATTGCGGTTTGTGGAAGAGAGATCATGTTGTTGTTGTTGGTGGTGGTGGTAGTGGTGGTGGTGGTGCTAGTTGTGTTCCTCATGTCATAAACAGGAAAACACACCAATGTTCGCGTACTTCCTAGCGATCAGATGCGTCAAGAATCCGAGCCAAATCGATGAAAACGAAAGCAGCCAGGCGGCAACCTCAATGATCAATTTATTAGGGTGATTTCACCGACTGCAACTTGTCCGACGGCGGGAATCCGCCTGGTGTTACAATCTTTGGAAAAGCCCGGAAACTTACAGACTCACTCAAATGCAAAACAGAATCAGTGAAAAGCTCACATTGGGTGAAAATATTTTGGAGCTTGAAGAGTGGGCATGTCATTATTTATCAAATATTTCTGGGTTGCATTTGAGAGCCAATAGAACATTCGAGAATAGTTACTTTCCATTTAATAAACTTTCGTTTAAATTC